TCCCTCCTCCTCCTCCTGCTCCTCCTGCTCCTCCTCCTCCTCCTCCTCCTCCTCCTCCTCCTCCTCCTCCTCCTGCTCCTCCCCTTGAACCCCGAGGGACGTTGCCGCCGTGCGGACGACGCCCGTGCCGCAGGGCGCGCCCCCCGCGCCCTTGGGCGCCGCGGCCTCGGCGCGACCCGTGTCCACCTCCAGGCCTTGAGGTGTCGCCTGGGCTCTGGGTGCGCGGCGGGCCTGGGCAGATCGCCCGCGGGCCCAGCAACGAGGAAGATAGCAGGAGGGAGGAGGAGGAGGAGGAGGAGGAGGAGGAGGAGGAGGAAGAGGAGGAGGAGGAGGAGGAGGAGGAGGAGGAGGAGGGAGGAGGAGGAGGAGGAGGGCAGGAGAGGAGGAGGAGAAGGAGGAGGAGGAGGAGGAGGAGGACCAGTGCAAACCCAAGGCCCATCAGCGATGATGGAACAGGCCCTTCCCCTAAGCTCCCTCTTCAGAGGCCCCGTACAAGGGTTCATTTGCTGTGAGGGAACTGCCTCGTTCGGAGACAACCGTTTGAAGACCCTGAAGCATGCCAGAACACCGTTCTCGGGACTCCAACGCCGCGCATCCGTATGACTGTTTCGTCTTGACGATCTTGAGTCTTGTAAGAACACCCTGGGTCTTTAATATCGCGGATCGATGTAAATGCACTCACAATCCTGAGTCCTTCGAACACACCATGCCTGGCACGTTCACCATGGGAACACGTGGAACTCTTACAAATGTTGAAGACGAGTGTGCGCGGCGCGATGGCGAGAGCCACATGTGGCAAGCCACCCACCCTCAATCCGTGAAGCTACTGCACATGTTTGAAACGAGTGTGCGCGGCGCTAAGGCGAGAGCCACATTTTGAAAACGGCCCGCCCTCAATCCGTGAAGGTCTTGCAAATGTTTAAACCGAATGTGCGCGGAGCTAAGGCGAGAGCCACACTTTGGAACCTATCCGTTTTCAATCCGTAAAGTTCTTGCGGCATTCTAAACTGAATGTGCGCGGCGCTAAGGCGAGAGCCACATTTTGAAAACGGTCCGCCCTCAATCCGTGAAGGTCTTGCAAATGTTTAAACCGAAAGTGCGCAGCGCTAAGGCGAGAGCCATACTTTGAAACTTACCCGTGTTCAATCCGTGAAGTTCTTGCAATCTTTAAGACGAATGTGCGCGGCGTTATGAAAACGACCCCCCCTCAATCCGTGAAGCACTTGCAACTTCTTAGAACGAATGTGCGCGGCGTCAAGGCGAGAACCGCATTTTGAAAATGACCCGCCCTCAATCCGTGAAAACTTGGTAGTTTTAAAAAGAAACGAACGTGCGTTGCGCGATGGCGAGAGCCACATTTTGGAAACCACCGACCCTCAATCAGCGAAGTTCTTGCAAATCTTTGAAACGAATGTGCGCGGCGCTAAGGCGAGAACCAGATTTGGAAAACGACCCGTCCTCAATCCGTGAAGCTCTTACAAATTTACAAAACGGATGTGCGCGGCGCTAGGCAAGAGCCACATTTCGAAAACGACCCGCCCTCCATCTGTGAAACCGGTGTCGCTTTTAAGCTTCAGAGTCATACATGGTGAGGAAGTCTCAGGCGAAAACGCACAGCCCGCCGTAAAAACTGGCCTCGGGGTGGGGCAGGGAGAAATTATTCGGAAGAAAGGAGAAGAGGAGGAGGAGGAGGAAGAAGAGGAGAAGGAATGGGAATGGGACTGGGACTGAGAATGGGATTGGAAATGGGAATGGGAAGGAGAAGGGAAGGAGAAGGCGGAGGGGAAGGGGAAGGGGAATCGGAATTTGAGTGGGAATGGGCATGGGAATGGGAATTGGATCAATGATAAGTTCGCGGAGGAGGATGGGGAGCAGCAGCCCCTCCTCCTCCTCCTGCTCCTCCTCCTCCTCCTCCTCCTCCTCCTCTCCTTTTCTTATTCCCCAATCAGAGCTAGCCTCTGTAGGGGTCCTAGCGGATTCATATGGTTAGGTTAGGATTGCCGCCGATTTTCGCTGCACGCCCGGGTGCCCCGGGTGCCCGGGTGCCTGGGTGCCCGGGTGCCCGTGTGCCCGGGTGCCTGGGTGCCCAGGTGCCCGGGTGCCCAGGTGCCCGGTAGCTCTGTATAGCCGGATGGCCCTATAGCCCTGTAGTCCTATAGCCCTAATAGCCCTATAACCTTACATCCTTATAGCCCTATAGCCCTGTAGTCCTATAGCTCTATAGCCCTACAGCCCCATAAGCCAATAGCCCAATAGCCCTATAGCCCTATGGCCCTGTAGCCCTGTAGCCCTATAGCCCCGTAGCCTTCTAGCCCTATAGCCTTATAGCCCCATAGCCCTAAAGCCCTAAAAAGATTATGATTGGGCGTTTTCTCCGGTATCATGAATAATTTCTCGCTCGCACCTCGCTTCTCGCTTCTCGTTCTCCCCCTCCTTCGCACCTCGCTTCTCCCCCTCCTTCTCGCTCGCACCTCCTTCTCGCTTCACCTCCTTTGCATCCTTCGCACCTCGCTTCTCGTTCTCCCCCTCCTCCTCCTCCTCCTCCTCCTCCTCTTCCTCCTCTCTCCTCCTCGCTTCTCCTGGCTCTTCCTCTTCCTGGCGACTGCGCTGGTGGCTGGCGTCGAGCAGGGCTTCCAGGATATTGGCCGACCAGCGGGCAGGCAGTAAGGTGGCCTCTGCGCGCAGACCCCGTCGCTGCCCGCCGGCCGCCTCCGGCTTTGGACAGTGCCCCGGCCTCCAGGGGGCTCGTTTGGATGGATCGTTCCAGAGCGCTCCGGACCAGTCTCGGAGCGTTCCGGAGGGCTCTGGAATTTCCACTGGTGCGCTGCGCTCGTCGCGGCCTGCAACGGGGAGCTGCCCTTCTCTGGGAGAGGCGGCGCGGGAGCGCAAGGGCACGAAGGTTAACCGCGCGTCGCGCATCGCGGGGGGCGATGCGCGACCCTCAGCAGGAGGAGGAGGAGGAGGAGGAGGAGAGGAGGAGGAGGAGGAAGAGGAGGAGACGAGGAGGAGGAGGAGCGAGGAGTGGAGGAGAGGCGGGGAGGCCGTGGAGGTGTTGCGCCTTTTCCGCTGTTGGGGGTTTTTGGCTGGAGGAGGCTGGGCCACCGCGGATCAGGGCCCCATCCGACCGACTAGTCGATCGGTCGGGTCCTCATTTGGCACGGCGTGGCCGCGCCCTCGGGACGAGTCGGGCTGGTGAAGACCAGGGTTGGGATCAGGCCGTGGATCATGCTGGCCTTCGCGGGTGCTTTTTCCTTCACCCTTCACCTCCTCCCCTTCGCTCCATCCCCGCTCCCCCTCCCCCCTTAACCATCCCTCTCCCGCCTCCCGCCTCTCCCCTCCCTCTCGGCTCTCTCAGCAATTACCTCTCTCGACACGAGTGCCCCTCTCGTCTCTCCCCTACGCTATGCTTATCTACCCCCGCCTCTCCCGCACATGCGCTTGGCGTTGGAAAGATAGCGTGCGGTGTGGCCCCGCCGGCCCGCTTATCACACGCTTCCCACCACCGTAGGGACAGCGTCCACCGACGAAGCCCTGGCAGAGGGGTGGCGCGCAAAGGAAGGACCCTCGCGGGGGGACCGCCCCACAGGGACAGCGTGCTTCTCGGAGACCGCTGTTGCACGCCATCTTTCCGACGCCTGCCGCAGATTTTCCCACAGGCTCGTTCGCTCTTCCCGTGTCTCCCTCCCTCTCCCGCGCCCCCCCGCCTCCCGCCGCGCCTGCTTCAGTGCCGCCATCCGCCCCGGAAGCGCCCCTCCGTCGCTCGAACGCTGCTCGAGTCAAGCGGCCGCAGACCAAACAGCAACAAACAAGTATCCTTCCCTTCGGCGTCACCCCAACATACTAATACGATGTGTGCGTCGCCCCCCCCCCCCCTGAGGGGCGACGCGCGCACCGAGACATCTTGTAGTGTATGCGTCGTGGCGGGCGCTTTCTGGCCGCGCCGCTCGGGAAACGACATACTACAGGATGGGTATGCTATATGTTTGGGTCGGACGCGCGCCTCCAAGGAGGACATCTATTACTGCTATGTCTCTGTGCGTCCCATCCCTCGCCAACTCGTCGTCGTCCTTCGCCTTGTGATGTTCCAACCTACTTTAGCCTTGATCACCAGGAAGAATATCGAGCACAAGAAACAAGTACCGAAACTCGAGGGGGTTTTCACGTGTCGGGCCCTGGGAGACACATTCGTCCGACACTGTTTCGACACTGCTTCGACACTCTCTCGACACTTTTCCGGGTGCTCGAACTTGTTTCTGGGATGTGGTCCTTCACTACGATGGGAGCAACATAACCTTCGTCGTCGTCTTTACCGCTGTCTTCCCTGAGGCCGCGGCGCCGCCGCCGCCGGCGCCGCTGCCGCACGTCGTGCGCCCGCCGGGCTTCCTGCCGCCGCTGATGCCCCCGCTGAACATCCCCAGCACGGTGCGGCTGCAGGCACGCGGGCCGTCTCGGCGACTCGCGCTGGAGGGCTTCTCCGAAGGGCCGTCCTCCTCCTCCCTCCTCCCTCCGCCTCCTCCTCCTCCTCCTCCTCCTTCTCCCCCTCCCCTCCTCCTCTCCTCCTCCTCCTCCTCCTCTCTCCTCCTCCTCCTCCTCCTACTCTCCCTCCTCCGCCTTCTCCTTCTCGTTCCGGCCTCTGCCCCGGGGAAACCGTGCCCCTCGCGTCGCGCCTCTCCCTGGCCCCCGGCGAGGTCTGCGGACCCTGCGCCTCCCCGTGGGCCGATCAACGATGCAGAGGCAGCTCGATGGGCGGCGGGGGCACGGTTCGAGTCTCGTCGCACACGTGGCGAGATCCGGGCCCTGCCTTCGCCATCTCTTTCTCGGCGGAAGCCCGCGGAAGCAAAACGAGGGCGGCTCCGCCGGCGGAAGCGCGGCGGAAGGCGGCGGACATGAACATCGGCTGCGCAAGAGATGGCCAGGCTTTTGGTCCACTGTTTATGAAACCCGCCACGTCTGCCTTCTGTGGAAGGCAGTCGCGAAAGAAAGCCTTTTGGCAGTTTTCGGCCTCCCCCCTGGCCCTCACGGGGCCCTGAGGCCGTCAAAAAACGACTCAGGGTAAAAAAGCTGGTCCCCGGGCTGGGGGTCGGGACCCCCAGGGGGTTTCGTTTCGAATCAGCCACGACGTCGAAGGTCTGGGTCGGCCACCAGCAGTGCCCGTGGTACGCCGAGCTTCGCCCGGCCGGCAGGGGGTGGTGACGGCCTCGCGAGACGGCGCGGCGAAGGATCGGACCCGCAGCCCCGAGAGTGGCGGGCGCACGGCGGTGGGGCGTGCGAGCGCGCCCTCCCCCGTGCCACCTTTCTGGCTGGACGGGCTGGCGGCGTGGCCCGCCTCGAGAGGCCGGGTCGTGCGGCGAGGGCGTGGCCCGCGGGCTCCGGGGGAGTGCCTGCGCACACCGGAGGGCCGCGGGCGGTGCGTGCGCTCCCGCCGGGCTCGTGCCCGACGGGCAGGAGGTCAGTGACGGCCAGGCGGGAGGGCCCAGTGAAGGTGCAGACGTCCGCGGTCCAGGGGGAGTGCGGGCGCGGGCCGGAGGTCCGCTCGGGCGGAGTGCGTTCTGCTGGTGTCTTGCTGCTCGCAGCCACGACGGATCCTCTCTCCCTCCTCGTCCTCTCTGCTTTCCTTCTGCGTTCTGCGTCTTCCATGCGGCAGCCCGTGCTCCCGTCCTCTTCTTCTTCTTCACCCGATTTATCTTGCTCGTCCTCTTCCTCTTGCGCATCTTATTCCTCGTGCTCCTGTACTCGGATCTTCTCGTTATCCTTGCCGTTCTGGTCGCCCACGCCCCGTCCTCCCTTGTCTTTTTATCCGTGACCGCTATCTTCGTGCTCTTGTCCACGTCTGTTCTTTCTCGATCGTGGTGTCACCGCGCCAATGTCGAAGGAGGAGAGACTCCTCCTCATCCTCCTCCTCCTCCTCCTCCTCCTCCTCCTCCTCCTCCTCCTCCCCCTCCTCCCCCTCCCCCTCCAGGGTTGCTAAGGGGGTAGGGCGGTTGGAAGTGGATGTTAAGAATCCCAGACGATTCCCATTGCAATCCCTAAAGAACAACTGATGTTTGTCGGCCGTCCTAGGGGGTGGTCCACCCTAGGGTATCGCCCCCGCCCCGCACATGTCTGGCCAAGCCTACCTTCTGAGTGTGTTGCAGATGCCCTCCGGGGCTCAGGGTGGGGGGCGCGGATCTGGTGTTACGTGGGCGAAACCCACTTCGGGGAGTTATCGAATTACCTTAAACTAGTGATGGCGCAGTCAAACCACTTGCATGCAAGGTTAGGCCTGGTACAACCCAGCTTCGCATTGACTTCTAACCTCCCTATCCCCTTAGCAACCCAAGCGGCGATCTCAGTACAGTGGAGATCGTAGGATGTGGAGGAGCCGGGGGGCACCGGGAAGATGTGATCGAGGAGCGTTGAGCAAGAAGCCATCATAAGCCCAAACTTTCCGGAGGTCCGCGCAGGTTTCTCGGATAGGCGTTGGACCCCGCTGGCGGCCCTTCGGGATAGGGGTGGTGGCGGACGTTCCACATCCTTCTCGCCATCCCCCCTCCTCCGACAAGGCGGATGATGAGGAGGAGGAGCCTTGCTTCATTATCTTATGATTTTCCTTTAGGGATAGAAGGTCTGAGTCTAGGGGTGTGGTGTCTGGGTCTACGTTTCGCTCCTCCTCTATCATCTGCCGATGTGTATGACTGGTGCCAATGCTTGCTTCTGCATCTCTCAGATCTTCGGTTGGGCAAGGACATGTGCTGCACCTTAGTGTTGCTCGGGCCAGTCATCGTGAGGTATCAAAGAATTCCCTGTCCGCGCCTGGGTGACGTTGTAACAGGCCTAATGCCCAGGTCCAGAATGTTTAGCTCGTGCTGGCGATACGGATGCGCACGTGTGCTTGATCCAGTCCGTGTGCTTAAGTCCTGCTCGTTTACCCCCTGAGAGGCCATGCAAATAGCCGAGCAAACACTCGGAAGGAAGTATGCCCTTTTGTGACGCTGTAGCCGTTACCTTGTTGGGATGCTGGGGGTCCTTGACAAGACGCCAGAGGGTATTGAGTTGAGTAGGCAAGCTATGTAAGATATCAAAGGTGGCAGTGTGACACTATCAGGGCGATGACCGTGGAGGCGTCGTTTTTGAGATGAGCAGCGCTGTGTAGGTGGATCGCTTCCTACCGAGGAAGCAACAGCGCCGCAGCCAGGTGGTGCGCAAGCTGGACTTTCGCTTGGGGCCGAAGGAAACGCATTGACTTTCTAGCCACTTGCCTCTTGACATGTCTTTGGTGAGCGCGTTGAGGACAGGTGCGCTGCGATTCCTGCGATGGTGGCAAGTTCGTGGCATTCGCAGTCGTTCTGCGCTTCTCCAGAGGCGCCCAGATGCCAGTGAGGCTGCTCGAGGGCGCTGCAGCTTGACGCAGGCAGCCTCGCCGCATCCGAAGCCTCGTGTAATGAAATCCATGGTTGGGGCAGACGCCGCGCGCCGTTTGCGCTCCCGTCCCTGCTGCCGGTCGCTCCCATGCCTGCCTCCACCGTTTCCCCTGCTTGCCAGGCCAGCCAGTTAGCAAGTCTGAAGAGTTTTGATGTAATGCCGAACATGTCTTCGGTGAGTCACCGCCCCCCCCTCTCTTGTGGATACGCCTGTGTGGTGAAATGTCGAGCGAAAGTGCTGCTATGCTAGTGGACTACGTGTTCCCCCATCATTTGGCGACACCACTGGGCGTACACTGGGTAAGGCGCCCTCTGGCTGGGGCCGTCTTGGGGCTGCCTTGGGGCTCGTTTCGTGCCATTTGGGTTTTTTTGGGGACCTCGTGGAGTTCAGTCGAGCCGTCTCGGCTCGGGGGCGTGTTGGGAGCCTGTTGGCGGTCTTTGGGGCCATGTTGGGGTGGAGGGTCCGAAGGCCTGGAGAGCCAGAGGCCATTCCTTTCCCGCCTGTGTGCTCCCCTGCTTTCATCTTGTGTTGTGACCCTTTCTCCGTCAGTCTCTTCCGTTGTTCTTGCTATCGCTTGTCTATCACGCTCGCGCCGTGAGGCCACGTTGTGCCCTCGATTGCTCGGCATTCGCGCGTGCAGGTCATGTCATTGCGACCTCCAGTTCAGCCGCTCGCCGCGCTGGCTCGTCGCTTGATCGACCTTCCTGACGTTGCGAAGGCTGCCCTGCGCTCCGAACCCTTGGACGTTCCGCGTGCCCAGCCAGCGGGCGCGATCCCTCGATCTCGACGCAACGCGGCGAGCACCACCGAGTCAAAACGCAGGAGGCCACATGGCAGACTTGAGCAGCCTCGCGAGTCGACTTGCCACCCCCCTCCCGCCCCCCGCACCCCCGCCCTCCGCACAGAGAAACCCGCGAGGGCGTTCCGTCGAGCTCCCCCGTGGAGTCCCCAGGCCCGCCGCCGCAGCCGCAGAAAGAAAAGACAGCAGCGCTACTCTCGAGGGCAGCGAGGGCTTCCTGAAGACGAAGTTCGAGCTCCAGGCCTGGCGGCATTTGTCTGGGCCGATGGCGCATGCGGCACCAGCGGAAGCCAGAAGCAGGGAGGGAGGGACCGTGGGAGGCAGGAAGGCAGCGAGGCACAGCTGGCAAGAGGGTTCAGAACAACCCTGGTTTTGGAGGGCCTGTCAGGTCTCTCCACCTTGGAATGCTGCTCGTTTTGGGTGCCTCCATGGGGCCTCGTGCCCTTGGCGAAGGGGCTCGCGTTCTTGATTCACGTTCTCGTGGCCGTGCTTCAACTCTAAGGAGGTGGGGAGGTATGTCGGGAGGAGGAGGAGGAGGAGGAGGAGGGAGGAGGAGGAGGAGATGAGTAGGATGAGGATGATTCGTGGTCTTATTAGTACAATTATTTATTAGTAGTATGGGACAAGGATGAGGACAATTGAGTATGGTAGGATCATCATTCTTAGTAGGAGGATTAGGAAGAGGAGTAGGAGGATTAGGTGAGGTGAGCCATGAGGTTTGAGTAAGATGTTGATTTATTATGATATTAGTAGAGGTGGTGCTGTGGATTGCGATCATGTAGATTTGAAGGAGGATGATGAGGAGTAGGTCAGGATTAGGGAGGATGATAGTATAATATTATTATGACTTATTAGTATTACATGAGGAGGAGGAGGAGGAGGAGCATCGACAGAAGCATCAGCAGCAGCACCTGCGGTGGCAGGAGCAGGCGGCCCAGGAGGAGCACCACCGGGACGGCCCCTGTTCGGTTGGTCCTTCCTCCCATGGGCTGCGGCCCTGCCCGTCCCGCCCTGGTGGGCGCGGCCCCGCGCGCCCGCTCGCCTCCTCGCCTCCCGGCCTGGAGAAGTCCCCCTCCCCCCCTCCTCGGCAGGCTGGAGGTGGCGATGCTCCCCCCGCAGCGTCGGCGGTGCCTCCCCTCGTCCAGCTCCTCCTCCCCGAATGGGGGGCAGGAGCGATGGGGGAGCGACGGCACTGCGGGCGGCGGGGCGGCTGCCCCGCCCTCCTTCCCGTGCCTGGCCCTCCGCCCCCCCCCCGCTCCCCGCCTCCTCCCCCCCCGCCGGCTCCCTTCGGCCAGCGCCGCGCCCCCTGCCCCCGATCCGCGTGAGCGTGCCGAGCGAGCCCTGCTGGATGCTCACGCGCCTTCCGCTTGCGAGGTGGGAGCGCGTGCCACAGTGCATCCTTGTTGCGAAGGCCTTGCGGCCGGTGCCGCCGACCCTGACGGGTGGACCTCCCCAGGGCCCCCGCTGGCGACCCGCCCGGGACTCGCTGGGACCCCGGGGGGGCGGTATTCTGACCCAGGACCCCAGCCTTCCCCGCCCCCCCCTTGTCAGGGAGGGGAAAGAGGGGAGGGAATCGACTTAACTACGACCGACGTTTCGGTTCCTTGTGGCTCAATTTCCTCCGGACTGGACGCCGCCGCCGCCGACGACGACGACCACGACGAGGAGGGCAAAGCCTCTCGCTTGTTTAAGTCGGCGGCGCAGAGAAGCTTCAGGCGCGGTTGGCAGGTGGAGGTGCCAGTTGCGAACGAACTTAGTCGAACGCGCCATGATGAGACAATCCCGCCACGGCCATGCAGCTTGGCTTGGTGGTGGAAAACATGAGGCGCTGCAGAGTCAGGGCGCAGCGGCCAACGAACCCGCGGAGCGTAAGCTCGACGCAAGGAGTCGAAGCGCAAGCAACAGTCGAGTGCTAATTTGCCAGCGAGGCGACGAAAGGTCCGGAAGGCTGCCAGACCAGCCGGCGCGGCGGCGACGCAGGGCCGGGGGATTTTGCGGGAGGGGCGGTGGGGGAGCAGGCGAGGCCCTCTGGCCTGCTCGGCCTGGCTGACTTGACCCCGCCTCCTACGCCCTCCCGAGGAGGAGGGGGAGGAGGAGGAGGAGGAGGAGGAGGAGGAGGAGGAGGACGAAGAGGGAGAGGAGTTCAGGCACCCTGAGAGACGAGGAGAGGGTGGCAGGATGTGGGGGTGTTTAGGGATTTTCGGATGGATTGTATGAGTGGATGGGGTATGGAGGAGGGGAGGAGGTAGGCAGGAGGGAGAGGAGTCAGGAGGCGGATGAGCCCTGGGTTGGGGGGGAGGAGAGCCCCCCCCCTCCCCCCCCCCACGTGTCGGTAGGTTCCCGCGCCATCCGCCAGAGGGCGCGACGCGGCAGCCCCCAGACTCGTTCGAGATCCACAGCGTGGAGGTGGAGTTCCCCAGGGGGTCGGGCACGCTGACAGAGGCCAGGGCTTCCTCCTCCTGCTTCTCCTGCTCTTCCTCCCTTCTCTCTCCTCCCCCTCCCTTCCGGTCCGCCCGCCTCCCTCGTCCCCTCCTCCTCCTCCCTCCTCCCTCCTCACCTGCTCCCTCCTCATCCCTCCTCCCTCCTCGCTCCTCCCTTCTGGTTCTTCTGCCTGCTGCCTCCTCCTCCCCTCCTCGCTTCTCCCTTCTTCTTCATTTTCCTCCTCATCCCCCTTCTCGTCCTCCTGCTCACTTCTCCTCCTCCTCCTTTTCCTCCTCCTCCTCCTCCTCCTCCTCCTCACTTCTCATCCCTCCCTCATGTTTCCCTTTTCTTCTCCCTCTCTCCTCCTCCTCCTCCTCCTCCTCCTCCTCCTCCCTCCTCCTCCTCCTCCTCCTCCTCCTCCTCCTCTCCTCCTCCTCCTCCTCCTCCTCTCCGTCCCTCCCTCCCTTCCTCCCTCCCTCCCTCACCTCCCTCCCTCCCTCCCCCCTTCCCTCCTTCTTACCACCGTCGTGGCCCCCTCCATACCTCGCTTCTCCTTTCTGGCTTCTCTTTCCTCCTCCCCCCTCCTCCTCCTCCTCCTCCTCCTCCTCCTCCTCCTCCTCCTCACTTCTCCCTCTTCCCTTCTCTCCCTCCTCTCTTCTTGCATGAAGGTGGAGGAGAAGGAGGAGGTGAAAGGCGATCTCATCCACTACATTCTCCTCAACCTTCCCTCCTGCTCCCCGCTCCTCGTTCTTTCCTCCTGGATCCCTCAAGCAATCTTGCACTGAATCCCCCTCCTACTTACATTCGATTCTTCTTTGCTACAGTCTTGCCCACTCGCTGACTGAGCAACTCCTGGCGTCGCTGCTTGCGTGCCTCGTCGCTGTAGCTCGGGGCGAGATCTTGTCGCATCGGCTCGCAAGCCGTGAACGCCCTGGCCTGGGGGCCGCTCAGTCGTTGCCCCAGGCCCGGCTCCGACGACGACGACGACGCCGACGCCGACGACGACGACGCCTTGCCGCAGCCGCCGCCGCGGCAGCGGCACCGGCACGACGACGACCTGTCCTCCTCCCGACGCCGCCCCGACGAGGCCCACCGCAGCCGCCCCGGCGGCGACATGCCCATCGGCCCCGGCGCCCCGCCCCCGCTGGGGCCGTGGCGCTCCACCGAGGCGCGCGAGGTGCGTCGCCGCTGGGTGCGGCGCCCAGTGGCTGCCGCCCGGCCGGGGCTCTCGTCGGGGGCAACGACAGGGGGGGGCAGGCACAGGGGGGGGATGCATCGCCCCCCCATCGCCCATTGACCGCCGCTAGGGGCCCGACAGCCCCAACCTGCCCAGGAAGGTGCGGATTCAATACCGAGGCCTATCGCCGATCTATCTGCGATGTATCGCCGATTCCATGTCGATGCATCCCTCCCTATGCCATTCCCCCCCTATCGTTGCCCCTCATCTCGGCGCCGTGGGGCGATCGCTCGAAGAAGGGAAAGCGTCGACTACACTGACGACCTCGGTGCGGGCGTGACCTTTGGCGCGGGGCCACCGGGGCCCTCCGATCACCGCGTGCGGTGTGATGGCAGCGGCCTGCGCGCTCGGGTTTGACACCCCCGCGCCCCCCCCAAAAATCCGCGCACGGAAGGTCACCCTTGCGCAGGGCCGCTCCTGCGTGTAGGCGAGAGCGGCATACGGTCAGGGCCTTTGGCTTAGCGTGTCGCGTCTCCGTTTCTGGCCCACCACGCCTCGGCGCGACACGCTATCCACGTCCAAGCCCCCAGGCGTCCAGTTGCGAGCCCCTCCGAACGGCATACAGTCAGGTCTTTTGGCTTAGCGTGTCGCTCCTCTGGTTCTGGCCCACCACGCCTCGGCGCGACACGCTATCCATTTCCAGGTCCCCAGGCGTCGATCTCTTGAGTTTCTCTTATCTTCCCGTCCGCGAGGTGGAGCGACACGCTGTCCGCTTGCAGGGCATAGCGTCTCGTCGGGGCCGGCGCATCGACACGTTGAGCAAAAGTGCCCGACCGTAAACTTTCGAAGCTGCGCGCGGATGCTTTGGATTGGCGCTGGAGCCCTCTGGCGGCGCCTCTGGCGCCGCCCCTGGCGCGCTCCGCACTCCGGGAGGGGGGGAGTCTAGCGCCGATCCAAGAAGTCCGCGCGGATCTCTGACAATTTATATCTACCCCGTTGTCTTTTCCTCTAATCACCTGGATCGCTTTTCATATCCAATTCTCTCTGTGCAGCTCAGAGCCCTCTCTCTTCTCCTCCTCGTCTTTCTCCTTAGCACTGGAGGAATTTTGCCGCTCCTCCTCTCCTTCGGCGTACCGCGTGTCTGTTCCACACGCTTGGTGAGGAAGAAAGCGGCTTTCAAGTGCAACCGTTTTCTCGTTCGTGCCGTACCTCGCCGGCCTCATCCCGATGCCTTCTAATTTTGCCTTCGGCGTCTGGCGGCATCCACGTTTTGGCGCCAGCTGCTGTCAGAGGGGGGTCCCGTTTTCTAGGGGAGGGGGTGGTCGATTCATAAGGCATTTGGAGTAGGCATTGGGACTGGCGCGAGAGCTCTGGGGGGTGGGCCCAGAGCGGTGTTGCGCCCTCCCGCCCCCCACCTGGCAGGGTCCTGTGCTGGGTTGTGCTGGGGCCAAGCCTGGATAGCGTGTGCGTGACTTATCCCTCGGTATCGTGTAACCGATCCCCATCCCCATCCCCATCCCTTTCGAGGCCCCCACCAAATTACCCCCCTCAGTTGGGGATACACCCCTCAAGAGACGAAGGGGACGGCCTGTATCCCCATCTAGGGGGGTGAATCGGCCAGTGGGGCCCAGGCCAAGCCGCTGGGGATGGGGATCGGTTAAACAATGCTCATGTGGGCCACCCCTGAGCCGCGCCAGGGCCGCCAGGACGCCCGCGGGTCGCGTGCAGGGCGCCCGAGGGAGTCCAGAGGTGGCCCCGAGGAGGCCCCGAGAGAGCCCATCATGGTCCCAAGTGGCCCCCAGGATGGCCCAGGGCTGGCCCCAAGAGGCACCCAGGATGGCCCCAAGAAGCCCCCAGGATGGCCCCAAGAGGCCCCCAGGATGGCCCCAGAGGATGGCCCATCCCTGGCCGCCTCCTTCCCCTCCTCCTTTGCCGCAGGAAGCGGAAGTCTCACCCCAGCCAGAAGCCGCAGAATTGGGACCGCTACCACCTCACAACTGTCACTTGATGCGGGAAGTGGTGCCACCTGGCGTCAGAACGCTGCGGCCTCTCGAAGAGATGCTGAAGACTATTCGCAGCGGATCGATGAGGGCCTCCACCCTCGGCGCGCAGAAGTGCCGAGGGCTCTTCGGGCTGTGCCCTCGACTGCAGGGACTTGCGAGCGGCGGTGTCGGCGGCCTTCGCGGCGGAGCCGAGGCCGCCGCCTAAGGCGTGGTTGGCGACGGCTGCCCGTCCGCCTCTGCAGCTGGTCCCGTGCCCCCTTCGGGGGGGGCGGCGTCTGTGGCTGCGTGAGGTGCCGTGGTGGCTCGGCTCGGGTCCCGCCCCGGTCGAGGCACTCCCGGGCGGGGGCTGCGTTCGTCCCCCCTTCCCTCCCTCTGCCCTCAAAGGTCGAAAAACGGTCCCCCTTCCCACCCTCCTCCTTATTCTCTTCTTCCTCCATCCCATCGCGGCTGCCGCGTCTCCTACACCTCCCCCTCCTCGTTTTCACCCTCATGCTCCTACCCCGTGCCATTTTTTTTTGTTGTTCCTCCGCCTCCTCGCCCGTCCTCCTCCTCCTCCTCCTCCTTCTCCTCCTCATCCTCCTTCTCCTCCTCCTCCTCCTCCTTTTCCTCGTCCTCCTCCTCCTCCCCCTCCTCCTCCGCCGCCTTTGCATCCTCATCCTCCATCATTTTCTCCTGCCCATCTTGTTCCTCCTCCGTTTCATTCTCCTTCCCCGCCTCCGCCATCTTCCCTCCTTCTAATCCTTGCCCTCGTCTTCCTGCTCTTGCTCCATCCTTCCCTTTCTCCTCTGCAGCCTCCTCCCCACTCCCCCCACTCTTTTATTTTTTTTCCGCTTGCCTGTCCTCTTTTCATTCTTGCATGCTGGCCTCCTCCTCCTCCTCCTCCTCCTCTCCTCCCCGCCTTTCCTCTCCTCTTTCCTCCCTTCCTCTCCTCCTCTCCTTCCTCCTCCTCCTCCTGCCTCCTCCTCCTCCTCCTGCCTCCTCCTCCTCCTCCTCCTCCTCCTCCTCCTCCTCCTCCTCCTCCTCCTCCCCCTCGCCATCTTCGTCCATCTCCTCCTCTGGGGCCCTAGCGCCCCCCCGCCCCCCGGGCCTCGGCCCCTCTACGCTCCAGACTTCGGCGCCGCTGATTTGTCTGCGGGCAGGAGGGATGGGGAGGAGGCGGGCCAATCACAGGCTTCAGTCGGGCATGTCCCTCTACAGGAGGAGTACATCCAAACATAATCAAAAGATTGCCAGGGGGCGACTATTCTTGGCTATATTCGAGCAGGGTTGGACTATTCTTCATTTTTCGTCCAAAATTCGCCTGTAGGAGGACATGCCCGACTTAAGCATCCTTCGGTCTTCTTCCTGGCCGCTGTCTGGCCAGCTTGCCTCCGAGCTCCGATTCGCCTGCGAAGTCCAGGTGGCGTACCGTTCGGATCACGTCTGGCATGCCGCTTTCAATCTGCTTGCTCCTCCTCCTCCTGCTTCTGGGCCTCGGCCCTCATTTCTCCTTCTCCTTCCTTCTCCCCCTCCCTCCCTTCCACGTAAGGATGACCGGCGTGGCGCGAACAAGGTGGCCGGGTGCGAGGCGGGCGTCGACTCGCGGCTCGAGCTGAGGGTGGCACCAGCCCGCGCCGCCGTCGCCGCCGCTGCTCGTCGGTGTCGAGAGGTCTTCGGAGGCTTTCGGACGGCTCTCGGGCGTGTCCTCTTTTTGGCTGCGGTTTTGGAGCTTGCTGGGGGGCCCGCCTTCCTCTGGCGTGGCGACAGGCTTCCAGAGGCTCTTGGACGGCCCTTCTCCGCTGCGGTCTGGGAGGCTGCTGGGGGGCCCGCCTTCCTCTGGCGCGGCCTGTTCCTGGGTCTTGAGCCAACGCCCACGTACGGCCAGGCAGGGTGGCAGGAGGAGGAGGAGGAGGAGGAGGAGGAGGAGGAGGAGGAGGAGGAGGAGGAGGAGGAGGAGGAGGAGGAGGAGGAGGAGGAGGACACGCCGCCCTGTCGCCCTGCACGGGGCGTGCTGCACAAGCGCAGCTCCGCAGCAGGAGGACGTGGGCGAAGCACGGGGGTCTTTGATAGCACGCTCGCCCGAGGCCGGGGAGGACTGCGAAGCAGCTGTGGGGAAGGGGGTGGAGGTCCAGAACCCGCATCCCGCTCAGGGTTGTGCTCGATAGGAGTTGGATTCCTGACCGAAGTGTTTTAGGAATTCCAGTGGTGCATCTCTGTCGCCTCCGGGGGGGAATATGACCGGAGCCCGTTTGGGGTGACGTTAACCCGGCCAGCGTTTTTTAGATTTGGCTTATTTCGAGTTCGAGCCTTCATCCAATGGGTGCGGTGAAAAAAAAAAGAACCCGCATCCCGCTAAGCATGCTTTTGCAAAGCCGCATACAAGTCCAGAGTATCCTGCGTAGCGAGCTCGAGCTTCGAATCTCGAAGACGCCTACGGCGAATCACCGCCGCCCCCCCTTGCCATTCTGAGGACGCCAATGTGGACAAACGATGGGCCAATGCCTGGCTCAGCTATTTCACAATGTGTTCCCTTAGCCATTGTGGAAACCCTTGGGGGAAAATTTGGGAGAGGAAAATGGGGAGCAGGAAAGGGAAGAGGATGACGCGATGACGACGATGATGATGCTGATGAGGATGAGGATGATGTTGATGATTTGGATGAGGATAACGACGATGATGATGCTGATGGTCAAGAAGAATGTCATGCTGATGATGATGAGAGATGATGATGGTAATGATGATGATAACGATGACTATGACGATGACCCATGACGACGATGATAATGAGGATGATGACGATGTTGATACTGGTAATGATGCTGCTGATGACGATGCTGATGAACATGATGCTGCTGACGATGATCATGGTGATGTTGATGCTGATGATGATTATGATGGTGGTGGTGGTGGTGGCGTGGTGATGATGAGGTTTATGTAGCTGCTGATGCTGTTCATGATGATGGTGGTGGTGGTGGTTGTGATGATGATGCTTATGATGATGCTGCTGCAGATGATGCTGATAGAGATGACAACGATGATATTACTGAAGATGACGCTGCTGTTGTTCTAGTTGTTGTTGCAGGTGTTGGTGTTGCTGTAAGTGTTGTTGTTGCCGTTGTTGATGTTGTCGTTGTTGCTGGTGTTATTGTTGCTCTTGTTGCGTCTTTTGTTTTTGTTGTTGGTGAGACTGGTGATGCGTCGGATGACGATTTTGACGATGCTGATGATGCTGATTATAGTGACGCAGCTTATGATGATAGAGATGATGCTGCTGATGATTCTGCTGATGATGCTGTTACTGATGATGATGATGATGATGATGATGATGATGATGATGATGATGATCGTGATCACGATGATGCTGATGCTGATGTTGCTGATGATGATGATGGTGGTGATGGTGATGATGATGATGATGGTGACGGTGACGGCGATGCTGATGCTGATTTTGTGATCGTGATGGTGATGGTGATGGTGAAACTGATCAGAATGATGATGCTGATGATGACGATGCTGATGCTGATGCTGATGCTGCTGCTGACGATGTTGTTGATGATTGGATGATGATGATTATGATCATGCGTATGATTATGATTCGTGTTATTCGTATTCTTGTTTCTCGTATTTGTATGTTACTTCTTTGTTCGTATAGTATCCATAGTCTTAATATCATTGGTATCGTTACAACAAAATGATTGTGATACTGCTGTTGCTGCTAATGACCTTGGTGCTGATGCTGCTGATGGTGGTAATAATGATGCTAATGATGCTGATGATGACGATGATGATGCTGATGATGCTGCTGCTGATGGTGATGGCGATGATGGTGGTATAGATGATGATGCTGATGATGATGATGCTGATGATGATGCTGCTGATGATGATGATGATGATGATAACGATTCTGTCGATGATGATGACGATGATGCTGATACTGATGATGCTGCTGATGATGATTGTAATGATGATGCTGAAGATGTTGATGCTGTTGATGGTGATGATGATGATGATGAGGATGATGATGGTGATGGTGATGGTGATGATAATGATGATGATGATGACGACGACGATGATGATGATGATGATGATGATGATGATGATGATGATGATGATGATGATGATGATGATGATGATGATGATGATGATGATGCTGAGGAGGAGGAGGCGGAGGAGCAGGAGGAGGAGGAGGAGGAGGAGAAGGAGGGGAGTTGACTCGAGTAGGAGGACGAGATGCCGCAGGATGAGGAGGGGAGGAGAGCAGGAGGAGGAGGAGGAGGAGGAGTAGGAGAAGGAGGAGGGAGGAAGAGGAAGAAGAAGCAGGCGGAGCAGCAGGATTAGGAGGAGCGGATGAGGAGGAGGAGGAGGCGGAGGATGAGGCACAGGAGGTAGTAGGAGGGGCATCATGACGGATGAGGAGGATGAGGCTGAGGAGGAGGCTTATGCACCTCCCTTTCGGCGTTCCGAAAAGAGCACTTGGAGGAGAAGTCCGAGTCGGAGTCGGAGTCGGAGGAGGAGAATGAGGAGGAGGAGGAGAATGAGGAGGAGGAGGAGGAGGAGGAGGAGGAGGAGGAGGAGGAGGAGGAGGAGGAGGAGGAGAAGGAGGACGCCTCTTGGGGCAATTGGGGGCTTCTCGAGGCTCTCTTAGGGCCATCTGAGGGCCCTCTCGGGGTTCTTGGGGGCCTCTTACGGGCGTCCGTCTAAGTAAGGTTGCTCGTGTCCCGTCTGACGGAGGGGCTGAAGAGGGGGCGGGGGAGGGGCACCCCGTCCGCCCCCCCCCCCCCCCAGCGCTTCATGCGCCTCATGGCCGCGCTGCTGGGCGCTGCCCTGGACGCCGAGCAGGCCGCCCGGGCCGGGGCCAGCCCGTTGTCGATTGTCGTCGGTCGGTCGGTCCGTCATCGTCGTCGTCGTCGTCGTCGGTCCGTCCGTCCGTCCGTTCGTCCGTCCGTTCGTCAGTCCGCCCGTCCGTCCATCCGTCCGTCCTTGTAGGCGTCGTCGTCGTCATCGTCGTCGCCGTCGCCGTCATCGTCGTCCGTCTGGCCGGCTGGCTGGCCAGCCGTCCGTCCGTCCGTCCGCGTCGTCGTCGTCGGTCCGTCCTCGTCTTCGTCTTCGTCTTCGTCTTCGTCCTCGTCCTCGTCCTCGTCCTCGTCCTCGTTCTCGTCGTCCGTCCGTCCGTCTGTCCGTGCGTCCGTCGTCGTCGTCGTCGTCGTCGTCGTCGTCCGTCCGTCCGTCCGTCCGTCCGTCCGTCCGTCCGTCCGCATCGTCGTCGTCGTCGTCGTCGTCGTCGTCGTTGGTCCGTCCTCGTCTTCGTCTTCGTCTTCGTCCTCGTCCTCGTCCTCGTCCTCGTCCTCGTCTTCGTCTTCGTCCGTCCGTCCGTCCGTGAGTCCGTCGGTGCGCCTGTCGACGACGTCGTCGTCATCGTCGTCGTCGTCGTCATCGTCATCGTCGTCGTCGTTGTCGTCGCGGTTGTCGACCTCGTCGTCGGTTGTCGATAATCATCGTTGTCCTCCTCCTCCACCTCCTTTCCTCCTCTTCTTCGCACTGCTCCCACTCTCCTACTTCTACTGCTGCTTCCGCTCGTGCTTCTGTTGCTGATCATGCTCCTCCCTGCTCCTTCGAGGGTGGCAGTCCACTTCGGGTTGTGCCGACCCCTGCGGAGGCCGGCGCTTTTGAGGGCCACTAGATTCTGCCACTTGCTCCTGCGGCTCCCGCTGCTTCTGCGTCTGCTGCTTCTGCTCCAACTCTTGCTCCTGCTCGTCTTGCTCATCCTGCTCTTGCAGCTGCTGCTGCTCCCCATCCTCCGCTCGCTGCTGCTGATCCTGCTGCTCCTGCGGCTGCTCCTCTTCCTCGCAATCCTCCTGCCTCTCCCTGGTGCGGTGAGCAGTGGGGATGCGTCTGCTGTGAGCCGCTGCACTCGTACCGGCATCGCGGCTTCAGTTCCACCGAAGGTGCCCTCCTTGTCTCGGCAGGGTTTGGTACTTTGTGCGCGGCGCATGCGCCGACAACCTCGCCACTCAGCTTCCCTCGCGCTCGAAGCTGGGCCCGTGCACCGCGCACCTGCGGGTCTTACGCCCTCGGTGCACGTTTGCTCTTGCCGGTACTCCTGCTGCCGCTGCCGCTCCCGCCCCCTCCGCCTCGCATCCCAGCTCCTGAGAGGCCCGCCGGCCTGACGCGTGGGGCAGGCGCTCCCGCTCCCACTCCCGGACTCGGTCCCGCTCTCCACTGCGCTCCTCCTGGCTCCCGGCCATACCCTCCCACCCCCTCCACGCTCCCGCGGGGAGGAGGAGGAGGAGGAGGAGGAGGAGGAGGAGGAGGAGGAGGAGGAGGAGGAGGAGGAGGAGGAGGAGGAGGAGGAGGAGGAGGAGGAGGAGGAGGAGGAGGAGGAGGAGGAGGAGGAGGAGGCCACTCCCACCGTGCCACCTCCCCCTGCGCGCTCGCGCTTCCAGTCCCACTGCGCGGTCGCCCTCTCCCCGTCCCGCTCTCTCCCCCTCCCGCGGTCGCTCCCGCTCTCCCCCGTCCCGCTGCCGCTCCCGCTGCCGCCGGCCCCCGACTGGGCTCTCGCACCCCGCTGCAGTGCTCGCTCCCGAGCCACGGCCCCCGCCTTGCCCTGCTCTCGCAGCCCTGAAGTCGGGCAGGTCCCTCTGCAGGAGGAGTGTCCCCAGAGAGTCAAAAAATATAGTAACGGGACGCTTTTGGACTGTTTTTTTGGATTTTGGGGCACTTTTTGACTATTTTGCATTTTTCCTTCAGATTCCGCCTGTAGGAGGACATGCCCGACCTAACGCTACCCCTGCTGTCCAACTCTCCCGCTCACACGATCCAAGATTCGAGGTTGATCAGAAGGTCGATCTTGCCAAATCAAGAATACCCTTGGGTCCTGTGTTTCGTGACCCATACCCGACGACGACAGCCTGGACACGCTCAGTCGGGCAGGCGGGACATTAAATGCAATCAGGCTTGTCCCATCAACCAGAAAGGGTTGCATTTGACGTCCGGCCCGCCTGCCCGACTGAACGTCCCGTCCATGGTCGTCGTCGTCGGCGCCGCCGTCGTCGGTGGGTTTTCTGCTTCTTTTGTCCCAACCTTGTTTCCCAAACAGTGCCTGCACTCATGTATCGTTTTCTTACCCATTGTTTTGCCGATCGGCGCTGGCCCTCGCCCCCCCTCCCCTCTCCTATGGAGTAGATCTTGGCTGCTTTGGGCGCCTGTTTCGAGCAGGTGGAGCCTCCCCCATAGGACGCACTGTTGCAAACAATGGCGTTAAGCAGTGACCAGACCCCCCCCCCTTCCGCCCAATGTCGGAACGTCGAAGGAGAAAACGTTCACTTTGTCTTTCAACGGAACCGGGTGGGTGCGTCGAGGACTCGCCCCGTTCCAGCCCGTTGCGGCCTGGAACATCCAAGAGTTGTGGAAAAATAATACGGTGACGATTTTTCGTGCTGTTTGATTATTTTCTGTCCAAACAGCGGAAACGTATGGGTTCTTATTTGGTCAAAAACATCTGGCCATGCCTGCGGGCTTCTCGCCCCCGTGCCGCCCCGTGCCGCCCCCGTGCCGCCCCGTGCCGCCCTCGTGCCGCCCCGTGCCGCCCCCGTGCCGCCCCCGTGCCGCCCGTGCCGACCGTGCCCGTGCCGCATTGCTTTGCATTGCATTCCTTTGCTTTGCATTTCTTTACATTGCTTTGCATTGCCTTGTATTGCTTTGCTTTACACTGCTTTGCATTGCAATGCATTGCTTTGCTTTGCATTGCATTGCGTCGCTTTGCGTTGTTTTGCATTGCATTGCTTTGCATTGCTTTGCATTGCTTAGCTTTGCTTTGCATTGCAATACTTGGCTTTGCTTTGCATTGCTTTGCTTTGCTTTGCAGTGCTCTGCTTTGCATTTGCATTGCTTTGCATTGCTTTGCATTGCATTGCATTGCTTTGCTTTGCATTGCTTTGCATTGCATTGCTTTGCGTTGCATTGCTTTGCATTGCTTTGCATTGCATTCCTTTGCTTCGCATTTCTTTACATTGCTTTGCATTGCTTTGTATTGCTTTGCTTTGCACTGCTCTGCATTGCTTTGCATTGCATTACACTGCGTTGCATTACTGTTCGTTGCTTGGCATTGCATTGCTTTGCATGGCTTTGCGTTGCATTGCTTTGCTTTTCTTTGCTTTGCATCGCTTTGCATTGCTTTGCATTGCTTTGCATTGCTTTGCGTTGCTTTGCGTTGCTTTGCATTGCATTGTATTTCATTGCTTTGCATTGCTTTGCATTGCATTTCTTTGCATTGCTTTGCATTGCATTGCTTTGCTTTGCATTGCTTTGCTTTGCATTGCTTTGCATTGCTTTGCATTTCTTTGCATTGCTTTGCATGGCTTTACTTTGCATTGCTTTGCATTGCATTTCTTTGCATTGCTTTGCATCGCATTGCTTTGCTTTGCGTTGCTTTGCTTTGCTTTGCTACGCATTGCATGTCTTTGCTTTGCTTTGCTCTACCTTGCTTTGCTTTGCATTGCGTTTCTTCGCTTTGCTTTGCTTTGCATTCCTTCACTTTGCTTGGCATTGCTTTGCACTGGTTTGCTTTCATGGCTTTGCGTTGCCTTGCTTTGCTTTGCATTGCTTTGCATTGCATTGCATTGCTTTGCATTGCATTGCTTTGCATTGCACTTCTTCGCCTTGCATTGCTTTGGTTTGTGTTTGTTTACATTGCTTTGCATTGCTTTGCGTTGCTTTGCGTTGCTTTGCTTTGCTTTCCATTGCTTTGCTTTGCATTGCATTGCTTCGCATTGCATTGCATTGCTTTGCTTTGCACTGTTCTGCTTTGCATTGCTTTGGTTTGTGTTTGTTTACATTGCTTTGCATTGCGTTGCGTTGCTTTGCTCTGCATTGCATTGCTTTGCAATGCTTCGCATTGCATTGTATTGCTTTGCTTTTCTTTGCGTTGCTTTGCTTTGCTTTGCTTTGCTGTGCATTGCCTTGCATTGATTTGCTTCCGGCCGTGCCTGTGCCGCATTGCTTTTCTTTGCGTTGCATTGCATTGCTTTGCATTGCTTTGCATTGCTTTGCATTGCTTTGCAATGTTTTGCTTTGCTTTGTTTTGCATTTCTTTAATTTGCTTGGCATTACTTTGCACTGCTTTGCATTGCTTTGCTTTGCATTGCATTGCTTTGCTTTGCATTGCTTTGCATTGCTATGCTTTGCATTGCTTTGCGTTGCATTACTTTGCAATGCATTGCTTTGCATTGCTTTGCATTGCTTTCCTTTGGCTTTGCATTGCTTTGCATTGCATTCCTTTGCATTGCTTTGCATTGTATTGCTTTGCTTTGCTTTGCATTGCTTACTACCTAGGTGGCACCACATGTATTGCACCACGTAGATTGCACCACACACGCATATATATATATATATATATATATATATATATATGTATATGTGTATATATATATATATACACTCCTCTTCCTATATTCTTACAAGCCCGGGGGGGGGGACCCCCCCCAAAAAACTGGACCCCCGGGATCTGGGGTTCTCGGGCTCCCTTGGACGTCCTTGGAAAAGGTCACCCGGCTTTCCGGGTCTCCACAAACGCTTTGCCAGCAGACCCAGAGCGATCCGAGGGGTCACCAGAAAGGCTCAAGGGAGGCCCCAGACAGCACGAGAGCGCTCCAAGACGGACTCCATAATTGCGTCAGGACTGCCCAAAAGACCCCCAAGGCACCCCAAAAAGCTTTCCACCAAGGGGCCTTCAAAGCACAAGAATCGTCCCATTCCCTTCGTACAGCTTACAATTTCAGCATATTCGCCTTTCGAATTTCATCAGCTTTCAAGACGGTTTCAAAGCCCCCGAGATCGCCTCC